CACAAAGAACACCTCAAACAAGCTACAGACCTTCATTAACAGATGTCTTCGCTCAATACTCAAGATCAGATGGCCCGAAAGGATCAGCAACAAAGATCTCTGGGAGCGAACCAACCAGGAACCCATTGTGAAACAAATAGGCAGGAAAAAATGGAGATGGATTGGCCACACTCTGAGGAAACCAGCAAGTGACATCACTAGACAAGCCCTAGAGTGGAACCCGAAAGGGAAGCGGCGAGTTGGTCGTCCAAGGGTGACCTGGAGGAGATCATGTGAAGAGGAGATGAAAGCATGTGGGCAGACCTGGAGCCAGGTGAAAACTCTAACAGAGAATCGAACGCAATGGAGACGCATGGCTGAAGCCCTATGTTCCTCTAGGAACTAAAGGAAATAATAATAATTAATTATTATTATTGTTTCCTTTAATTCCTAGAGGAACATAGGGCTTCAGCCATGCGTCTCCATTGCGTTCCGTTCTCTGCTACAGTCTTCACCTGGCTCCACGTCTGCCACACGCTTCCATCTCCTCTTCACATCACCTCCTCCAAGTCACCCTAACAATGACGACCAACTCGCCGCTTCCCTTTCGGGTTCCACTCGAGCAATGGCTTGTCTAGTGATGTCACTTGATGGTTGGTTTCCTCAGAGTATGGCCAGCCAATCCATCTCCATTTCTTCCTGTCTATTTGTTTCACAATCGGTTCCTACTGGGTTGGTTCGCTAATTGCCAGAGATCCCTGTTGCTCATCTTTTCTGGCCGGCCATCTGATCTTGAGTAGTATTAAGCGAAGACAACTGTTGATGAAGATCTGCAGTTTGTTTGAGATGCTGTTTATGACGCGCTGGTCAAGTCTCTGATCCGTATAGTGAGTAGCACTGACTTCACATTGGAGTTGAAAATCCGGATGTTATTTTTGATGCTGAGTGCTGTTGACCTCCACACAGACTTGAGAGTAGTGAAAGCTTGTTTTGTTTTTCAGATTCTTGCTTTGATATCTTCGTCAGTTCCGTCGGCCTGTAGTTGAAACGATGCTTCGCAGAATGGTGGATAGGTAGAGGAGGTTGTTTCTTTCAGGTTCCTTCCATTTATGCTGATCGTTGTCTGTTGTTGTTGTTCTTGTCCAGGAATCTTCATTACCTCTGTTTTCTCTATGTTCACCTGAAGTCCTATCTTTGATGCTTCTTCTGCCAACTTAGCATTAATATAAGAATAAAACTTGTGCACTGTGGTAGAGTATAGTTTCATTATGAGTAAAATTTTGTTTTAACAAAGTCTCACAGTGTCATAAGCTAGCTTAATTCTTATGTTCCGAAAATCTGACTATCCGTGACCTACTAGTTTGACCTATGTAGTTGACCTAACTCACACTCATTTCAGGGTATTTTGTAAATTATATTATTTTGTCTAATTAGGTCAACCGACAGTGTCTTTGAACCTAGAGAGCTTGTCCTACCTGAGTGAGTTTGTCGGTTTCAAATGCCACTCTAATTCCTGCTTTATTCAGAATCCTACGTAGGGAGGGTCTCAGATGTCCCCTCCTTATATGGTATAGCAGTAGATGACCTACATTCTTTCTTATTTATGTTCTTATCATTACTAGTTTCACAATTATTTTTATTTTGCTTTTGGTCTTCACTGAATGTAGCATTATGTATAAACCTTTCCAAACTGTTTTTCTTTTCTTTGTAATAAATTTCACTTACAATTATTTATTCTTTTTTTCTTTAATTCTGATTTCACAGACTTGCAAAAATTCTTGCCTGTGGTGATAGATCACTGAATGCTCAAGTCAACTGTCTACGTGGAAAATCAATTAAAGAAATTTTAGACGCTCATGATACAATGTACAATCCTGGCAGTTATTTCTCTGTACCATTCCCTCCTGTACTGGATAATGATTTTTTCCCATATGAAAGTAGTCAAGCATTTCGTCAACTCCGGCATCTTAAACCATCTGGTGCATTAATGTTTGGTATAAATAAAAATGAAGGCAGTTACTTTCTGCTGTATGCATTTGTTAGTAATGCGAAATGGATGAATAATATCACTCACTTGCCAATAACAAATCGTATGGATTATATTAGATGTTTACGACAAGTGCTGGATTTAGATGAAGATGATAGACCGGAATTCACTGAACCACTGGTTCGGTATACGGATTTTGAATATCAAACTTATGAACATTTAGTAAGTTGTTATATTTGTTATTACTATTATTATTAGTATTACTTTATTATTCCCTTGATTTTGGAGTGCTACATAGGGTTTCAACAAGGGGAACATTTCCACCTTGTCCCAGTGTCTAAGGTCGTCTTCAGCTTTCCATAATCTTTAATCTCCTCCTCCATGTCACCCTCTGACACGCCCCACTTGTCGATTCCCATTGAGATTCCAATCGAGAAATGGTGTGCATTAAGCGTGGACCCTCACGAAAAACTTGGAGGATCTGGACTTCGCCAATGATATATTTATGTCTGATTTCCCACAGACTGAAAGATATGCAAGCAAAAAGCAACAAGTTAGAAGAAGAATCATCAAAGATATAACTTCACTTCAGGTGAACATCCAGAAAACAGAGGTGATGAAGATTCCTGGGCAACACCAACAGCATAAATGGGAAGAACCTGAAAGAAACAACCTCTTTCACCTACCTGGGAAGCATCGTTTCAACTACAGACAGACGGAACTGATGAGGATATCAAAGCAAGAATCGGAAAAGCAAGACAAGCTTTCACTACTCTCAAGTCTGTGTACAGGTCAACAGCACTCATCATCAAAAATAACATCCGGATCAGAGACTTGCACGGCGCGTCATAAAGAGCTTCTCAAACAAACTACAGACCTTCATTAACAGTTGTCTTCGCTCAATACTTCACTCAAGATCAGATGGCCAGAAAAGATCAGCAACAGAGATCTCTGGCAATAAGCGAACCAACCCATTAGGAACCAATTGTGCAACAAATATGCAGGAAGAAATGGAGGCGGATTGGACATACTGTGAGGAAACCATCAAGTGAAATCACTAGAGAAGCCCTCCAGTGGAACCCGAATAGGAATCGGCGAGTTGGTTGTCAGTGCAACGGTGACTTGGAGGAGGTCATATGAAGAGGAGATAAAAGCATGTGGGTAGACGTGTAGCCAGGTGAGAAGGCTGGCGGAGAACCGGATACAATGGAGACGTGTGTCTGAAGCCCTATGCTCCTCTAGGAATTAAAGGAAATAATAATCATAATAAGCGCGATGTCATTCGATGGCCTTCTCAGCGTATGTCCAATCTATCTCTATTTTCTTCTACATATTTATTGAGCAATCGGCTCTTGGTTGTTTTGTCCCACTGAAGAGTTTCTTGTTGCTGATTCTTTCTGACTGGCTAACTAGCAATTTGATCTTCAATATTGAGCCACAGGAGGGAGCAACTGCTGATAAAAGTCTGTGGTGGCCTGCTGGAAATCCTTTCCGTGACACGCTGTCCAAGTTTCTGACCCGAATAGAAACACTGACTGACTGACTTCACATTTATGTTGAAAACTGGAATCTTGTTCCTTATACTGATGAGTGTAGAAGATTTCCAAACGGATTTCAGATTCATAAAGGTGTATCTCACCTTTCCGAGTCTAGCTGTCTTTGAAATCTGCATCCGTTCCCATTATAGTTGAAATAATGTTTCTTAGATAAGTGAAGGAAGTAACCTCTATCAAATCTCCCGCGTTGATGGTGATTGGTGCTGTTTGTTGCAGCTGTTGGTTGGTTGGTTAGTTATTTTCAACACCTCCGTTTTCTTTACGCTCACCTAGTATCCTATATTCACTACCTGCTCTTTTCTGCAATGCTGTTAACTTTCGCCTGCAAGTCTTCGAGTTTGCATGGCATTAAACATAAATTATTTGCGAAATCCAGATCTTATGGGGAGTGTTCTTATCAGTCCAGCGTATTCCTATCTGATGCATAATCCATTCCACCACAGTTAGGAATATCATTGGTGATAGCAGGCAGCCCTGTCTTACTTTTGTATTTACTTCTATTCGCATACAGTTATTTGGATGAACTATTGCACAGAAGTAGGTTTGAACTATCCCTTAAAACTCCAATAAGGAACTAGGAGGTCTTCTTGGGACACACACGAGAAAGTTTCCCACCTATACCTATTTTTTAAATCACGCACATTTACTACAGACTCATCTGATTGGTTAACCAACGTCACTATATCCGTTTATTAGGTAATTCCGTTATACTTTAGAGTTAACCATCTAAGCTGAAGCATCGTTGTTGTTGTTGTTGTTGCTGTTTTTTTGATGTTTTATTTATTTCATGTAAACTTATTTTTGTGTTATTACAAAAATTACACCACATTTATTTCTTGTTGTGGTGGTAATTCAGCCCACCTTAGAAAGTTGGACAGAAAGGCTGGAAGAAATCAGCAGTGATAGAAGTTTCAAGTGTCCAACTATCAATATGGCAAGTGCAGTTACCAATGAACATCGTATGCCTGGTCGACGCCGATCGAATACTTTACCAGTGTATTTCTATGAATTTCAGCATAGAACAGTTTCATTACCAATGCCTAAATGGACTGGTACTATGCATGGCTATGAAATTGAATATATCTTTGGTATACCATTTAGTCCTCAATTTCAAGCAGCATTTTATCGATTCACCGATGAAGAACGACAGCTTAGTGATATAATGATGACTTATTGGGCTAACTTTGCACGTACAGGGTAAGCTTTATTAAATGGAGTGTTCATATTGTGATATCACTCATATTATATAATTATTATCATTATTCCCTTGATTTCCGAGTGGAACATAGAGGGCTTCACTTTGTTCTGCTTTCTGCCGTCCTCTTCAGCTGGGTCTAGGATTGTCAGAACTCTCTCATTTCTTCCTCACACGATCTCCTCTATGCCACCTTAAGACGACCCACTCGTCACTTCCCATTGGGATTCCACTCGATATCATCCAACGTTTTCTTCAATGTATATTCGATCCATCTCCGTTTTCTCACAAATATTTGTTGAGCGATCGCCTCTTGGTTGGTTTGTACCACTGCAGAATTTCTTGTTGCTAATTCTTTTTGGTCTGCCATTTGATCTTCAGTATGGAGCCAACCAGCGAAGGGGGCAGCTATTGATGAAAGTCTGCAACAGGCTGTTGGGAATCCTTTTCGTGACACACTGGTCAAGTTTCAGACCGGAATAGAATCACTGACTGAATTCACATTGGTGTTGAAAATGTTCCTCATGCTGAGTGCAGTGCGGGAGATTTCCAAACTGGTTTCAGGTTGATGCAGGTGTACCTTGCCTCTCCGACTCTGGCTGGCTTTGACATCTTCATCCGTTTTGCCTGAAGCTGAAACGATTCTGCCTGAATTAGTGAAATAGATGACCCTTGCTTTAGATTTCTTCTGTAGATACTGGTTGCTGCTTGTTGTTGTTGTTAGAGGTGGTGGTTAGGTATATTCATCCTCTCTATTTTCTCTGTATTCGCTTACAGTAGTCCCGCCGTCACTGCTTCTCCTGCCAACAGCCTGAATTTCCATTGTGGATAAAAATTTATTTTGATAAAGTCACATGCAGTATTATACAGTAAGTAATATTAACTGATGACCATGGTCTGAGCACAGTTTATTACTTCTCATAATCATATCAAGGTACTCAGACAACCTTTGTAACTTCATTTGCATAATTCCATTATTTTTCATCTCTTGACTTGATTGGTAGTGGTATTTTGTGAATATCTCTGGTATGAGTGATGAGTCATCCCTATTGCACGTGTTGGGTGCAGATTCGATGAACCAGGCAGGATCCAGTAATCCTCCTCTCTCTCTCTATCTCCACCTACCTATATTACGTTTTAGAATTTCAACCTGCTCGCAATCTGTTGTGTGACTGTGCGTTGTTAATGCATGCAGTGCGATTGCTGCGCTTTTTTCTTAATTACTTCGAGAGTGGCATCAATCATTTTAACCTTAGCTAAATTCTTATGTTCCGACAATCTAACTACCCCCGATCTACTAGTCTGACTCACCTATGTAGTTGATTTAACTCACAGTCATTGCAAGGTATTCTGTAAATTATATTATTTTGTCTAATTGGGTCAACCGCCAAAGCCCTTTAACCTACAGAGTTTGTCCTACCTGATTGAGTTTGTAGATTTAAATGCCTCCCTATTCCCTGCTTTATTGAGAAACCTACGAAGGGCTTCAGATGTCTCCTCCTTATATGGTATAGCTGTAGATGCCTTATATTCTCTCTTATTTATGTTTTTATCATTGTTAGGTTCACCAACATTTTTATTTTCCTTCTAAACTTTTCTGATCTTCCTAATGAATTTTATTGGATAGTTAGTTATTTAACACCAACCAGGCATTCTTCTATCTGTTTCATTTCATCGTTTAGATTTTTTGTTGTACAGTTTGTTAGACACATAAATAAGCCTATCTTCTCAGATAATGGATGCGAAGAATTAAAGTCTAAATATCTATTAGCAGAATGCGTTGGCTTTTTATAAACGCTGGTGTTCAGTTCACCTTCTTCTGTTCTTTTTTATTTTACAATCTAACATCATGGCTAATTCTCTTATTGTTCATCTTTCGATTCAAATGTGAATTTTAAATCCTTTACTATTTAGTTTATATGTGTGAAGAAGGTAGAGAGAGAGAAGCTGTGTTTTTAACACACTGTGAAAGTGTCATCCACATATCTCCACCATACATTTAGTGTAGCATTATATAAATACATTAGGAGCAATATTTTCCCAGCTGTTCATAAAGATATCTGCTACGATAGGGGATATTGGTGATCCATCCCATTGCTACACCTTCTGTTTGTCTATATCTTTCGCCCTGTAATTTAAAGATAGTAGATATGAGACAGCGTAACTGAATTCCTAAAATAATTTCCTCAGTGGGCAGCTTTGTCCTATGAGCAAGTTCAGGATAACAAGTTAGTTCCCTTTTAGCTGCTTCTATTGCCATATTGATTGATATATTAGTGTAAAGATTAGTTATATCTAAACTAACTATTCTTTCATTATTCTCTAATTGAATGTCATTCGGTTTCCTCTTCATCTCATATGAATTGGTTAGCCTAGAGTTTGAATGATTTCTAATGGGACATTATATTAGAGATATGTAATTTGATAATTCATGAATAGAGTTATTTCTGACATCAGCCATTGCTCATACAGAGTAACCCGACTTATGTATTTTTATAGCACCATACATTCTAGCAGCATCACTAGTTTTAGGCATTAAATTAAGCCTTTTAGATTCACCCAGTGAAGACTACATTCTGCTTATTTACTCGGCGGTAGATTTCTTAATCTTATTCCTTGTTGTATCTACAGGCTTCTTAATTTCCTCCTATGGACCCGTTTCAATATTTTCAGTGACTTTCTTGATATAGTCAGATTCATTCACAACTACCGTCGAGTTTCCCTTATCAGCCTTTTGTGGTGACAATGTTTTCATCCTGTTTTAGACTAATTAGAGCTAGTCTTTCCAACTTTGATGAGGTGATGAAGATTCCTGGGCAACACCACCAACAGTAACAACAAAAACAGACAACAATCAGCATAAATGGAAGGAACCTGAAAGAAACAGCCTCCCTTACCTACCCACCAACATGGGAAGCATCGCCTCAACTACAGGCAGACAGAACTCACGGGGATATCAAAGAAAGACAAGCTTTCATTACTCTCAAGTCTGTGTGGAGGTCAACAGAAATCATCGTCAAAAGTAACATCCGGATTTTCAACTCCAATGTGAAGTCAGTGCTACCGAACAAACGGATCAGAGACTTGCACTGCGCGTCATAAAGAGCATCTCAAACAAACTACAGACCTTCATTAACAGTTGTCTTCGCTCAATACTACCCAAGATCAGATGGCCGGCCAGAAAAGATCAGCAACAGAGATCTGTGCCAATGAGCGAACCAACCCAGCAGGAACCGATTGTGAAATAAATAGGCAGGAAGAAATGGAGGTGGACTGGACATACTCTGAAGTAACCATCAAGTGGCATCACTAGAGAAGCCATTGCTCGAATGGAACCCGAAAGGCAATCGGCGAGTTGGTCGTCAGTGCGAAGGTGGGGTGACTTGGAGGAGGTGATGTGAAGAGGAGATGAAAACGTCTGGGCAGACTTGGAGACAGGTGAAGATTCTAGCAGAGAACCGAACGCAATGGTGACGCACGGCTGAAGCGCTATGTTCCTCTAGGAATTAAAGGAAACAATAATAATATAATGATTTCCAACCCTGTTAGGCTTGATTGTGCTTTCCTTGCTTTTTTCAGGGTTGATGCACATTCTGCTCTGACCTTTTCTCCTGTAATCTTACCTGTTGAATTTATTACTACTTCTGTGTTAGAAGCGACATCCTCTGATTCTAATTTACTAACTGTCACGTTGAAATTTAGTCCTTTCTCGAACACTTTTATGTCAGCAGAGCTTAGTTCTCTTCAAGAGTGGTTGATCACCCACTTAGTTCCGTCAATAGAAGATGAAACGCTGTTTTCGCATTCTTAATTGATTGTGTTCTTTTCCTCTATTGATCTGTTGAATTTCTTAATTTGCATGGTTTCTGATTTTATAAAGTCCATTTTTCTAGCTTTTTTGGATGTCTCAGCTACAGTTTCATAATCTTTGAGTTTGAGTTCTTCAATATCACTTCTCATATTGTTTAATTCCATAATAATTCGATGTAGTTCTTCTCTTAGACATAATCTGCTGACATGTCCCACTGCCGGTGTTATTTTTCTTGAAGTAATTGGAGTACATAGGCGTAAGTATTTAGGAATTATAGGATTTTTTAAACATCAACTGTTGAAAATCCGATGGTTTGTGAATCTTGCTTCTGTTTGACAAAGTCGTGTGAGTTTTCTGTTAAGCTTCCCAGAAAGGAAGACCATATGTGGCACTGATATAAGAATAAAACTTGTGCACTGTGGTAGAGTGGAGTTCTTTTATGGATAAAACTTATTTTGATAAATGGAGCTATACTCTACCACAGTGCAAAAGTTCTACTCTTATGTCCTCAGTTTTCGCCTGTAAGTCTACGAGTTTGTGTGACATTCAACATAATGGTCCTCGAAGTCAAGATCATGCAGAATCACCTTGTAAGTCCTGCATACTCTTATCTTCTTGCTTCCCACAGTTTACCGCATGATCCAGTCAACCTCAAAGAAGAATATCATCAGTGATAGTACGTATCTATGTCTTACTTCTGTGTTTTTACTTCAAAGCCTTTTCTGAGTTTTCCGTCTTAGATCACTTGACATTTTGGTACTGTTATATAGCTGTCGGGGACCTCTACCTCAACTTTATAGACTTTGAGAAGGCCTTCAACAGCGTTGACCGCGAAGTAATTTGGAAACTACTCGAGTACTACGGCGTAACCCAAATATTCATCAACCTTATCCAACAGCTGTACGACAGCGGCACATGTCAAGTGATCCACAATGGAATACTGAGCGAGGCATTTGGAGTAAACACAGGAGTCAAACAAGGGTGCTTATTATCATCAATGATATTCCTAATTGTGGCGGACTGGATTATGCGTCAGACAGTGGGAAACGAGAAGACAGGGATATCCTGGACCGACGTGAAGAACCTAGAAGACCTGGATTTCGCGCGTGCATGATTTATGTTTGATGTCACACAAAATCGAAGACTTACAACCGAAAATCGACAAACTGGTCGAAAAAGCAGCGAAGACAGGACTCCAGGTGAACATGGACAAGACGGAGGTTATGAAAATAACCAACAACAACACCAATATCCAGCGCCAATCACCATCAACGGGAGGGATTTGAAAGAGGTTAGTTCATTCACTTATCTACGGAGCATTGTCTCAACTACATGAGGAACGGACGAGGATGTCAAATGGAGAACCGGGAAGGCGAGAAACACATTCATCAACCTGAAACCAATCTGGAAATCTTCGTCACTCAGCCTGCATTAACAACAAAATTCGGACTTTCAATACAAACGTCAAGTCAGTCAGCTCTTCTATACGGATGGATCAGAAACTCGGCGGCGGGTCACAAAGAATATTTCCAACAGACTGTTGCAGACCTTTATCAACAACTCTCTTCGCTCTATACTCAAAATCAGATGGCCGGAAAGAATAACCGACAAGAAACTATGGGAAGAAACAAAACAAGAGCCAATCGCCCAACAAATATGCAGGAGAAAATGGAGATAGATTGGACAATCGCTGAGGAGGCCACGGGGTGACATCGCGCGTCAGGCTAGTGCTCGATTGGACTCCGAAAAGGAAGCGGCGAGTTGGTCGTCAGTGCAAGGGTGACATGGAGTAGATCGTGTGAAGAAGAGTTGAAACAGTATGGACTAACATGGATGCAAGTGAAAGGTACAGCAGAAGACAGAAGCAAGTGGAGACGTGCAGTTGAAGCCCCATGTTCCACTAGGAACCCAAGGGGACATTAATAATAAAGCTGTCGAATAAGATGAATAATGGTTTGGAGCACTCTGTTGTGTTGAATTAGTTTCCAAATTACTTCAAGGTCAACGCTTTCGAAGGCCTTTTGAAAGTCGATGAAGTTGAGGTAGAGATTTTACCGCCAGTCTATGCTCTGTTCTGTGGAATTCTTCTCACTAACCGTTTATTGATCCCTCAAAATAATGAACAATCATTATACTTAATATTTTGTTTTTTTGCGTTCCCAGAGGAACACTTGTCTTCAAGCTTATGTCTTGAAATTTCAGTGTCAGTGGTGTTTTTTTTACGGGTTGTGGTTGCTGGCCCCACGCCCAACTTCCCATCTTTGTTGGGCTTACAACTAGCCAAGAGGAGTAAAGGTGTGAGCCAGTCGATCAAACTACAGACCACGTACATGAATGGAAAACATTCTACTGATGAACCACTGAAGTGATGAACAAGCATGTCAAATGACAATGCTATCGAGTTTCTCCTATCTTCGCTGAACAATGTCAGCTGAATTCCACTTTCATTTGTTTATAAATCACATAAATAGCAACTAAAATGAGTCATAGATATCCATGAATTTCTACCATCATTCTAAGTTTTATTGTTAACAGAATTTGTTCCAATTAAGTTTCTCAATGGTGTCTCCAGCCAGTCAAGAGGTTTTGATTCGATTTTTGGCCAACACAGTCGTATGTATCGCCCGGCAGTGAGCCCAGAAAAGAGAAAAGATTGAGTGTGACGCTAGTGAGCCTACCCAATCCAGATTTATTACCGTCTGATGAGCTAAGCGAGGAGTGAGTCGGTGGCACAGCGTTAAAGTGCTCGCCGACCACGCCTCATGTGGTCCGGGTTTCGATCCCCGGCCACAGACGCACTCCTTTACCTCACCAAGTCAGTAATAAGACTGGTAAAGAAGAAAGGTTAGTCATGAGGCTAACAATCCCATCCTGTAAAATAATCACCACTGCTACCGAAACTTCAAGCCTGTAGCTTTAAGCCGTATGTTCCACTGGGAACGTGAAGGAATAAAAAAACTAAGCAATGTGAAGGAGTTCATAAGCAGGAAGCTGAACCGAATCCTCCCGCATTCTAGGCAGCCGATCTACCGTTTGAACACTCAGAAACTTAGCTGGCGTAAATTTTGTTGCAAGTGAAACTTTGCATGATGACAGGAATTCATGGAAGTGCATAAGTCAGTTTAGATGTGATTTATCCGACTATTAAACGAAGGAATGATGGAATTCAACCGACATTTAGGTAATTCATTGCTGACATGAGTGTTTATCATACACGAGATGTCAAACCATGGAGGATAATACGCTTTTTATGCACAATATTATTTATAAGTGTTTTCATCACTCTCCTTGTAAACTTCAGCAGATCAAAACCTTCTAAGGTATTAAATCCTTACCTTCGAAGTTTTCCAGTTGCCTTAGGAAATCTTGTATGAACTAATAACTGCCTTCTAATACATTTATCAAGCATGTTGCATTGAAATACTGAATCACTTTGAAAAAACTACACACATGTTTGTTTGGTTTTGTCACAGAGGTTATTATTATTTATTATTATAGTTTCCTTTAATTCCTAGAGGAAAATAGGCTTCAGCCGTGCGTCTCCATTGAGTTCGGTTCTCTGCTAGTCTTCACCTGGCTCCAAGTCTGTCCACACGTTTTCATCTCCTCTTCACATGACCTCATCCAAGTCACCCTCACCCTTGCACTGACGACCAACTCGCCGATTCCCTTTCAAGTTCCACTCGATCAATGGCTTGTCTGGTGATGTCACTTGATGGATGGTTTCCTCAGAGTATGGCCAGCCAATCCATCTCCATTTCTTCCTACCTATTTGTTTCACAATCGGTTCCTGCTCGGTTGGTTCGCTCCCAGAGATCCCTCACCATTGATGATCCTTTCTGGCTGGCCATCTGATCTTGAGTATTGAGCGAAGACAACTGTTGATGAAGGTCTGTAGTTTGTTTGAGGTGCTCTTCATGACGCGCCAAGTCTCTGGTCCGTTTGTTAAGTAACACTGACTTCACATTGGAGTTGAAAATCCGGATGTTATTTTTGATGCTGAGTGCTGTTGACCTCCACACAGACTTGAGAGTAGTGAAAGCTTGTCTTGCTTTTCCGATTCTTGCTTTGATATCCTCGTCAGTTCCGTTTGCCTGTAGTTGAAACGATGCTTCTTAGGTTGGTTGGTTAGATAAAAGAGGTTGTTTCTTTCAGGTTCCTCCCATTTATGCTGATCGCTGTCTGTTGTTGTTGTTCTTGTCCAGAAATCTTCACCACCTCTGTTTTCTATATGTTCACCTGAAGGGAAGTCCTATCTTTGATGCTTCTTCTGCCAACTTGTTGCTTGCATATCTTCCAGTTTGTGGGAAATCAGAAATATATCATCGGCGAAGTCCAGATCTTCCAAGTTTTTTGTGTGAGTCCATTTTATGCCTCTTTCCTCATTGCCCACTGTTTGTCACATTATCCAATCTACTGCAATTAGGAAAATCATTGGCGATAGTAGGCAGACAGTTTGTCTTACTCCTGTCCTCACTTAGATGGATTCCGTAAGTTTCCCGTTGTGGATTACTTGGCATGCAGCATTGTCGTACGGCTGTTGGATGAGATGTATAATTGTCGGTGGCACCCCGTAGTAGCATAGTAGTTTCCAAATCACCTCTCGATCGACGCTGTCAAAGGCCCTTTCAAAGTCGATGAAGTTGAGATAGAGAGGTGACTGTCATTCCAAGCTCTGTTCAATGATGATCCATAATGTGGCGATCTGATCAATGGATGACTTGTTTCTCCTGAATCCAGCCTGTTCCGGTAGAGTGTTTTCATCCAGGGCATGTTTGATTCTCTCCAGGATGATGCGGCTTAGTATTTTACTTGGGATGGACAAGAGAGAGGTTAACCTCTGGTTAATTAATTAGATCAACAGGTTTCTTGCCCAGGTGCAAGAATGGAAACTGCTTCGTAAATCACTAGCTGTCTGTTTAATTCATAGGCTGTAGAGGATTGTGAACCGATAGTTTTACGGATGGAGTATAAGTTAGTCGATGAAGTTGTGAAGCTATATCAAATGAGATGACTAGAACACATGTTGCGCATGCCGAGTCATCGCCTTCCTCAACGATATTAGATTACGTAGAATTAGGTTACAGAAGAGTTAGGCGTGGTCAAACCAAACCTAGCAGTCATTCCATGAGATATATTTCGGCAGTTAATTTCAGCCTTGTAGGATGGCGTAGACTGCCTGGTAGGGGTCGTTAGGGTGTTAAGAACCAAAGGTCAGAAGCTATTGGTGATATGGCTTGAAATTGTCGTCAGTAATGCAGATTCATTCACTCTTTGTGACCACTCATATGAATTAAGCCCTAACGATTTTTCGTTATAGTTCTCGTGAATTTCTTTTCTCTCCCTTTTCTATACCTTTCTGTACTATACTGGATATGATAATTCTAACTGCTGCACTTCTGTGTACAGTTCTAGCTTAAAGCTCAGGCAGTCTCGATTGCAGTGAACCGATAGCCGAACGAGCCCATCGAGTAAATTTAGTATGTCTCCAGCTATCTGGAAGTCTAAATTAAGGATTTAATGAGTGAGGATTTGGAAGTGTTATTACTTTCAGCATTTAAATACGAAAGATAATGACCGACAAAGAAGTTACATGAGCACTGTTAAATTGCGCACCGCTCTGGATGTGGGTTAACAGGAAGTCACCTCTAAACACCATTATTATAATGCCGTAGGCATCGAGTGAATTTTGTAGGGTTGTTAAGTAGGAGACGGTTGTAGATAGTGCACAAAAATGGCAATGGTGGTCGAAGAAGCCAGTACAAGAAGCAAGAAGAAAAACCGGAGTATGGAAGAACAAATGCTGTCTTGTAAACTTTTCAGTTGGTCATGACTTAAAAACCTCTCAGAAATATAATTCAGACTACCCTTAGAGAGATTTATATTCCATTTCCTGTTTTTCAAATAAATCAGTAGCATTGTGAAAACTAACCCTGTGAAAATTACTTTATTTCTTTTCACAGAGATCCTAATATCCTTCCAGATGGACGACATGTTACTGATCAAGCAGATTCAGAAGATACAGAAGAACTTGTTGAAGATGACTTTGAAAATCCAGCAAACTACAGGCAGAAGCGCAGGAATCCATTCATTGGATGGCCTGAATTTCTAAACAGTACCAAGGCTTATATTGTTTTTCGCTCGGCACCAGGAAATTTGCATGTCAATACACGACCACGTCATCGTCAATGCTTATTTTGGCGTCGATGGTATCCAGCATTATTGCAACAAGGTAAAACATAGACTACATTAATTTTCGAATTTATTATTTTTAATATTAAAAGTTGTACGGGTGA